TTCTTAATCTCAACACCTCCGGCCCCATCTCACCCCTCCCCCCAACCTACCGTAGTGCACTTAAAGATCCTAACTGGCACGCTGCTATGTGTGATGAATTTAATGCGTTGATTAAGAATGACACATGGGAATTAGTACCCCCCTCCCCCTCACAAAATATAATCACCTGGGGTTGCAAGGCGGACACATCACTCTTCATCTTCTCCCACACCACGGGAACAGCCTACCTCCTCCTCTACGTGGACGACATCGTCCTCACTGCCTCCTCATCATCACTTCTTCAGAGCCTCATTCATCAGCTTAAGACAGAATTTGCTATGACAGACATGGGGGATCTACACTTATTTCTTGGCATTAATGTTCAGCGCACCTCTGCAGGGCTCTTCCTTCACCAGACTCAGTTCATACATGACATCCTCGAGCGTGCTGGGATGCTCTCGTGTCGCCCTATCACTACTCCGATCGACACGAAGGCCAAACTATCCTCCTCTACAGGCACAGTACTCCCAGATCCTTCCTTATACCGGTCCATTGTGGGAGCACTACAGTATCTCACCTTCACACGGCCCGACATCACTTATGCAGTCCAGCAGCTCTGCCTCCACCTACATGCACCCCGCGATGCTCATCTCACTGCCATGAAGCGCGTTATACGATATCTGAGTGGCATTCATCTGTCACCATCTTCCACAGACTTTCTCCAGGCCTACTCTGACGCAGACTGGGCCGGCTGCCCAGACACCAGGCGTTCCACCTCAGGCTACTGCGTATTTTTGGGGGATAACCTGGTCTCCTGGTCATCCAAACGACAGGCAACCACCTCGCGATCAAGCGCCGAGGCTGAGTACAGGGCTGTAGCCAACGCCATAGCCGAAACAACTTGGGTGCGCAACCTTCTCCTTGAGCTGCAGCAACCTCTCCGGCGTGCCACCCTTGTCTTCTGTGACAATGTCAGCGCAGTCTACCTCTCCACCAATCCCGTCCAGCATCAGCGCACAAAGCATGTGGAGGTCGATATACACTTCGTACGTGACAAGGTGGCACTCGGCCATGTTCGGGTCTTACATGTTCCATCTTCCTCCCAGTATGCCGACATTTTTACCAAAGGACTGCCCTCATCACTTCTATTCCTTGACTTCCGAAACAGCTTGGGTATCACACCGCTTCCACATCCGACGTAGCCGGGAGCATGTTAAATATATTATTTATATTTAATTATTCTTGTATTATAGTGTTACCATAATTGTATTACCTTCCTACTATGTCTCTCCTACCATAATTAGGATTGAGACCCCTTGTATAAATACACATGTAATTAACACAAATCATCAATGAAAATATCCTTTCTACATATAGATTATTAATATATAATTTTATAATTTTTTAATATACAAATTACAAGATAAAATGAATTAAAGAAGTGCATTGGATGATGTGTAAAAATGAAAGTTGACAAAAACTAAGGGACGGAGGGAGTAAATGTTTATTGGTGTCACAAAAGAACATAATATTTAGTCTATTTACAACATATATATGTAACCTAAAAAATATTTTATATAAATTATTCTTTACGAACCCATCAACAAGATGTCATCAAACAACGACTACAACTCTATATCATCGAATGACAAAAATTCACATCGTAAATTAGGAAATAGTTTTGAAGATATTTTCTGAAGTTGGGTCCTTCCAAAAAATTGTAGCATCTAAGGATGAGAGGTAGTTTTGGTGATCTAAAATCTGCACTAAACTCTGAACTTAGTCACAACATAAACTTCTTTTTCTTTGATATCATCTTAGAGAGTATCATATCGATATGCGGCTCTTTTATTTGCGCATGAATCTGGTTCCCTGTAAACGCAAGCAATAATTTCTGATTTAATTATAATTATTTTGTTTAACACTTTCTTGATTATGGATCACACTATTTGTTGAATATATTATGTATATTTAATATTTATTGTATTTGGTAGGTTTCCTTTTGTATAGCCTTTCCTTGTTTATATCCTACCATACTTAAGAGACTTATGATTTGTATATATACGAGGCTTGACTCCACAAGATTAACATAGAAATTAATAATTCTTCATGGCCGCAACCCAGCAGCAGTAGTGGTCATGGCCGTGGCGGCCAACGCAACCGCGGTCGAGGTTGAAGCTCCAGGTCGAATCCCCGCACCACCCACGGACAGCCCTGGCAGTCACCGAACCCCAGCCTTCTCGGCCCTTGGCCCACTTACCCTACCTACCCCACCCCCAGGCCTATTTTACCCAACCCCAACCCACAAGCTCCTACCCGACTGACCACTACGGTCAGCCCCCCTACCCTTACGGCCAGCCATCACCCTACACACACCCACCCGCATACCCCCACCTACCCCCTATACACAGTCGTCAACCCCCCCCCCCTCCCATCACACCCACCGCCCTTGCTCACAATTTTGACNCACGGGAGCATCTCACCACATAGCGTCTGACCCAGGTACACTTTCTCATGTTCGTTCTCATTCTTTAAATTCATCCTCATACATCACTGTTGGTAATGGTACTAAAGTTCGCACTACGGCCACCGGTAATTATCACTTTTCCACTTCCCCCCTCCTTGTCCCTACATAATATACTTGTATCTCTACATATCATCCATAACCTTATCTCTGTTAGACAATTCACCTGTGACAATAATTGTACTATTGAATTTGACCCAACTGGTTTTTCTATGTAGGATATGCAGACAGGGTCCGTGATTCATCGGTCCAATGATGCCGGTCCACTCTACCCCATGAGCCCACCCGCCACCCATGCCCAAGCCCATGCTGTCATCGCTGATCCAGAACTCTAGCGGCCACCCAAGCCATATTGTCCTTCGTGGAGTCCCCAGCTTATCACATTGTCTTAATAAACAATTTCCAAATTCTTTGTGTCATGCGTGTCAATTGGGAAAGCATGTTCGCCTCACATTTGTGTCGTCGAGTCGTATTTCTATATTTCCATTTCAGCTTCTACATATTGATCTGTGGCAATCCCCCGTTCCCAGTGTTATAGGCTTTAAACATTATATGTTATTGTTGGATGATTTTTCTCACTATTTACGTAGAGGTTGACATACACTTTGTCAGGGACAAAGTTGCCCTATGACAAGTCTGTGTTCTCCATGTTCCCTCTTCCTCCCAGTATGCCGACATCTTTACCAAAGGGCTACCATCTCTTCTCTTCTCCGACTTCATACATAGTCTTGGTATCCGCCCTTCACCAGTCACGTAGTTGGGAGCATGTTAAATATATTGTGTATATTTAATATTTATTGCATTTGGTAGGTTTCTTTTTGTATAGGCTTTCCTTGTTTATCTCCTACCATAGTTAGGAGACTTGTGATTTGTATGTATACGGGCTTGACTTCACAAGATTAACATAGAAATTAGTATTTCTTCACTATTAATGTACGGAGTTACTAACATTTTCATCATGAAAGATAACATCAAACAATTCTAGCCCTCGAGGATGGGTAGAGGTTCGATAAACCCTGATAGCTCTTAATTTAATCATGAAAGTGGCAAAACATTGATGAATCTTTTTTAGCGTTGACCATACACTAATGATTATTTACGTGTGTTTGTAGAAAAAACAAGAACAATATATCATCGTGAAGTGGATATGTTTTGCCACAGCACGAGATGGGTGACTATTTATACAAATAATTTGTTCCCTAAAAGGGAAAAATATTAAAATAATTATTTTATTTTTAAACTTCAGTTATTTACCGTCCATTTTTTATAAAGGAAAATTATAATTTTATCTTTTTAGGTATATAGTTTTCCATATACGGAGTAATAAATAAAGATTTATTTTTTTTAAAAAGTAACTTAATTTACGGAAGATATTTAATTTTAATTTTAATAAAAATATACATATCCAAGAAAAAAAATCTGGTTAAGAATTAACAAAGAGTAGTTAATAAAAGATCAGTGTAAAGTTCCAAAATGAGCCTTTAAATAGTCATTCAAAAAAATGTTAGTCAAATGGTGATTGATTAGAGGGTACTTTGATACGAAATATTTGCACTAAATAGCACTAAAACTTAAGTCATTTCCCTAAATAACACTTAAAATTGTTTTATTCCTTAAATAGCATTTAATAATCTCCATAATGTCCAGTGGTGACAAATATTTACTTGAATAATGACTAATGCATAATGACTAAAAGTGCTACATTGGAAAAAAAGTACTTGTGGTGCTATTTAGGAAAAGTCATTATGTTTTAGTGCTATTTACGTAAAATTAAATGACTATACATAATTCATAAATTATTAAAAATTTGTCAAAATATTTTGAAATTTGAAACAAATACACTCCATTAATTGGAAAAGACCATTTTAGAAAAATGCTTCATTAGAAATGATGAATTTGATTACTTACTCTAGGTTTAGATAATGAAAAATACCTTCTACTTAGTCGGCATTTTTTACGAATGACTGGTTAGAGAATAAATTTCAATTATAAAGTACGATATATGTAATTAAAACTTGTTAAAGACTAATTGAGAAAATATCGAAAGAATTATTTTAGAAATTTACTCGAAACAAAATCTAAGAGAGGGTATTTAATATAAATCTTATCTACTTGGCACACCAAATCGGCTTATTTAAAAGCCTAATAAAAGATTAAAACAACAGATTATGAATATATGAGCAAAAACTTGTCCAATTCCTTACAAATACTCCGAATATTCTAATGATGTATCATTATTGAATTAGTCCATTTTTTATTTTGATTTTTTATTAATTAAAATCATTTTCATTAGTACTTCAATCAAGGACCATTAATTTTGCATAAAATCTTTTATTTTTAAATTAATATACCAATATATATTCCACGAGTTTAAAACATACGGAGTATTTGTTTACATAATCATATTACATCCTATCTAAAAAAGTATTTATAAAACTTTATGGTTGTTTGAAAAATAAAGTTTATATGATTTTTTTAAAACAATTGATCATTTCTATTTTACTACTTTTAAATAAAATACTTATAGAATTTTAATGCATGTACATCAATATTTAAAATATTGTTTTTATTTAAAAAAGATATATTATAAAGTTGAAAAATATTCATACAACATATATTATGTCACTATTAGAAAACTAATATAAATATATTATATTTATAAAGTATAAAAAATTTAGAATATATATGAGTGTGTGAGGAACAGGAGAAACGCTAATAGTGGGTATTTCATACTTCCTTCGTTCTTAAAAACACTTCCTCTTTCATTTTTTCCACTTCCAATAAAACACTTCCACTTTCTATTAAAAATCACTTTTACCCTTACTTTTTCATACTCTAGCTATGACATCATACTTTTTCTCTAATAATCAATCTATTATATCTTATTTTTACACATTACACATTACATCACGGATAAAATTAAAAGTCAACTATAATTTTATACTTTATTTTGGCTCAAAGTCAAAGTAGGAAGTTTTTTTTGGGAGTATAAATCTTATCTACTTGGCACACCAGATCGGCTTGTCAAGTTCCGCTGTAGTAACGGCATATCTAATTCTGGGTTCGAACCCCAGCAGCGGAAATTGTTTTGCCCCCTTCGAAATGTAGGGTTTACCACTTTCTGTTCTTAGGGTTACGCTGACGAGTTTCTGTTCTCCCTGTACCTAATTGCTGCCTCGTACTTTGGATGCTTGAAGATGGAATCCATAAAGTAATGTGCCCTTTATTCAAGTACAGTGTTGAATATAGTACTATTACAATTTGTAATAAAAAGGAAACATTTTTTTTTCATTTGTGTAGTATTTACTTACTAGTAACTCAAATAAAATCACTCTGGATTGGCATGAGAAAATGCAAGTCACTTAGGAAACAAATGGATATTTTAATCTACACAAATGCAGAGTTTGAATGAACAACTAATCTTGACACATGCCTCCTATGCACTTCGATCAACAGAGCCTACTTTGTATTTTCAAGTCACCATTGGTCACTCGACCTAGTAGAGTTCAATTATTAACTGCCATGCACTTTCTTGTTTTCTTTTTTGTAAATTGATCCATACAGGACATGTATATCTATAATGTAACTTGCAATGCTTCATGGCTCAGGAAATGGATCATAGTCTCAGAAGGCTATTGTAACTTTAAATGATTTTTTTAATCGCTTAATTTTAGGCGTAAATATGCACTTCTAGCCTTTGTTTTTTTTAGCGTTAACTCTTAACTTCCAACATAATCCAACCCTTTTCAGTTTTTTCCAACTCTTACCAGTTTCTTCCAACTTCTTTAAATTTCTTCCAACTTTTTCCAGTTTTTTCCAACTCTTCTAGTTTCTTCCAACTCATCTTTCAATTTTTTCAATAATGACTTAATTTTCTTTATTTAGGTTTATTTTCATATCTTATTATTATCTCAAAAAAAAAATAAAAAATTGATTTATTGAAAAGTTGTGTCCTAGATTTATTAAAATATAAAATTAATTAATTTATAATTTCCTTTGTGATTTTTGAAATTTTCATTAAATATATATATTTCTTTATTGTATCTTTCTTTGTTGTTTTCTGTGTATATTTTCTTTTCTTTTTTCATTGATGAGCCTTATATATTACCCCTTCTCTTCATAAGTTTTATTTTCACTTTCCTTATTTGTCCATCCATAAATTTTCTTCCCATTTCTTTTTTGGCAACTATATTTTCTTTAAATGACATTACTACCCTATACCCATTAATTCTAGCTTTCTTATTCACTTTATTTTACTTTTTCAACTATCCAAGGACAATGGTAAAAAGTCAAAACATATTTTACTGTTTCTCAAGTTGCGTGTATTGTCAAACCGAGAAGAAAATTTATGCATGGAGAGAGTACATGGTTCAAAATCTTTCTATAAAAAAATTCAGATTTTCTTTTTTCTTCGTTCCAAAAAATGTTTTCACTTTCCAATTTTAAAAAGAAGTTTGCGGTCTTTATATTTTTTTCTCTTCTCTGTTCTCTTTCAAAGTTTCGACTACAAAATTTATTTTTCTTAATCTTCGTACTAAGTTAAAAATAGAACCTTTTTTTAAATGGAGGGAGTATAAATATATTTTAGTTATATAGTTCTCCCTGTAATAATTTTTTTTTTTTAAAAAGTAACTTAATTTACCAAAGATATTTTGATTTTAATAAAAATATGCATACCCAAGAAAAAAAATAATTTGGTTGTAGTTAATAAAACGGTAAAGGTTCAAAATTTTCCTTTCTAATAAAACACTTTTTCAAATTAGTCACCAATAAGTTCTAATCATATACTTGTATATAGTACTTTATAATTGAGATTTATTATTTAAATAATCATTCAAAAAAATGTTACTTAAATAATTATTAATTGGAGGGTATTTTGGTATTTCCATTTCCTGAAGTTAAAAAAATCAAAATAGTCATTTCTATAAAATTTCGTATAATATTAAAATAGTTATTGACTATACATAATTCATGAATTATTTAAAATTTTTCAAAATATTTTGAAATTTAAATAGGGTGGAGAACCAAGAGAAAAAAAAAGAAAAGGAGTCAAGATCATAAAATTTAAATTTATAAAATTATAATTTGACCCCAAATGACCTGAAGGTGACTTAGAAACTGTCTATTAGACGACCGGTGAAAGAATATTGAAAGTTCGTGTACTTTTTTGATAAGAATTAAAATTTATATACCAAAGTGAAATAATGATGAAAGTTCGTATAACATGAGTGAAATTTACCCAGTAAAGGGGGTGAGACTATGTGAGAGTAGGACAACCCAAATCATATCTATATCTACTTCAAATCCGCTTGAAAGCTAAATAAAAGTATTAAAACAACAAAGTGCAGATGTATTCCCACAGAGTTATTTAGTTCCGCTGTAGCACAGGCTATTAATGAGTTTAATCAAA